ACTGCTCGGGGAAGGCCACGCTCACTAAATGGACTCATATCCAAGGGCCAGCGAGGAGCGGCGACCATGGGGCCTGAGAACACAGGTGAGGGTGACAGGTGGCCGGGCCCGGACGGGGACGAATTCATCCCCTAAGGGTGAGGAGAGGGTGGGATCTCGGGACAGGGGTCTCTCGGTGCACAAGTGCCAGTGAAATACTCCGTAGACTTCGAAGCTGGTGGATCAGGGCATCCAGAGTCTTGGAAGTTCGACCCTAGAGCATCAAGCAGCGGTGCAGGGGGAGACCTTGACTTGCCCTGGGTCACCCTAACCAGACACCTCCCTATTTCGATGCTCCCGGAGAGAACTCCCCCCGACACACACCTCCCGTGGCAGCCCCCAGGTAGTGTAGTGATCGTATCCCACGCCCCAGCTTCCCCTTCAGAACTGGCCCCATCTCGCTCATGCCGGAGCATCTGACTCCACCGGTTGAATCTGTTTCTGATTTATGGTTGTCATTTAAAACTCAGCAGGAAGGAAGCGTCTCCAGGCTGGTGATTCAGGAGCGTGATGTAGACCTGGTCTCTAGCTACCCCGTTTTTCTTCCCCCAGCTCAGCCTTCCAAGGACACTGCCCTTCTCCGGCGGAGGAGGCACAAGCCGGAGGCGGCAGGGACAGGAATCAATCCGAAAGCCATGTCCCAAGTAAGTTGGCATTTCCCCCCTCCTCTCAAATGCAAGCTTGCTTTTCAGGACTTAATAATGTTTATTTTCTTTTGAAAGTTTTCAGTAAGAGACCTATCGGGGGAGCTGGTTCCCATTTCCTCACATTCTGGTGAGAGATAGCCCAGGGCCTCCCTTCTTGCTTCCCCTTCAGCCTGTTCAGTGTTTGTTCTTCACCGAAGAAGTGATTTCAGCCCCTCCCTGTGCCGCTTTCCTCAGAGGGGCGCTGATGGAGCGGAAGGGTACTCCTTACGGCAGACAGGACAGCCACAGTACCTGGTTGCTTTGGTGTTGTTTGTGCAGCCTCTGGAGAAACAGATGACCAGGCCCCAGCCCCTGCTCCCAGGGAGCTCACAGCCTGTTGGAGAGTCATGGAAGCGTACAGGACTGTGAGTGTGCGTGCTCAGACCAAGTCATGTGACAGTGGGCCCGAGGGACTTTTGGCTTCTAGTCGCTTCTGGGGGAAGGGCAGGGAGCCTTCACCAGGGAGGTGATTTTTGAGCCGTGCTTTGAAGGGGATGGAGAAGTTTGGCAGGCAGAAGAGGGAAGAGCGGCACCGGCACAATGTGAAAGACTTACCTTTTCTCCCACTTGATCGTGTTGCTTCTTAGAATGCTGATAAATCTTCCGTCTGTTTGTGTCAGCTGTGTCTCCTAAGTATGTCGTAGCCTGCTCCTGAATATGGGAGCCAGGTTGCCAGTGACCTCCACACTCCCAAAGGCAGTGCTCGATTTCTAGTCTCTCTTGACCGTTATTGGCGTTTGAAATAATTGAGGGTTGGTCAGCTTTTACTGTAAAGGGCCTGGTAGTAAATGTTCTAGGTTTTGCAGGCCATGAGGTCTCTGCTGCAGCTACTCCACTCTGCCTTTTGGAGCTAAAGCAGCCACAGCCAATATGTACATGAATGGGTCAGGCTGTGCTCCAGTAAAACTTTATTTACAAAAACAGGCAACTGCCAACCCCTGAAAGAGCTCACCCAGGCCCTCCCACCTTCTCTGACTTCTCAGCTGTCACTGCTGGTTCCTCCTCACCTGCGTCTGGGTTCTGTTCCTGGCTGTCTCTTCCTGTCTGTACGTCTTCCCCTGGGGAGGTCAGCCTGTTCTTACCTGTACAGACTGGCCATGGCTTCTCCCGGTTCACCTTTCCAGCCCAAACCTCTCCTCTGAGCACCAGACTCCTCCACTTGGATGTTGAATAGGGAACTCAAAGCTTACACATCCAGACCCAACTTTCTGAGGTTTCCCCCAAACCAGCCCCTTGCACAGCCGTCTCCATCTCAGTCTGGTGGTTTCATGCTCTCAGTTACTAGGTTTCATGCTCTCACTTTGGTGTCATTCTCGTTTCCCACATCTGGTCCGTTTGCAGATCCTGTCTGCACTATTTTCAGATTGCACGGGGAGTCTGACAGTTACCACCACACCCACCGCCCATGCCCACACCCACCGCCTCAGTCCTCATTACCGTCTCTTGAGCTTCTGCTTCCACTCATGACCCATGGTCGCCACCCAGTGCAGCCGCCGGAGGGGTCTGTTCTGTCAGTCTCTGCTCGTGGTGCTCCAGTGCTGTCTCCAAATGAAGGCCAGATCCGCAGCGTGACTGACAGCCCCGCGAGACCCGGCCCTCTGTGCCTCTGACACGTGCTGCCCCCATCACTCACTTTGCTTTCCCAGAAGTTGCCTTCTCCCTCAGACAAGCTATGGAACTCTGAGCTCAGCTTCCTCATCTGTAAGATGAAGATAGTTACCGTTGCCTTCACGGAGTTGTGTGCATCAAAGGAGAACATTTTCATAAAGCACACAGTAAGGGCTCAGTAAACGGACCGTTGTTGTTAGTTCTTTAGTTCTTTGGAGCTTTCCTCCCCACCTAAACGCTGTGAAAGGCTTTTAACTGTTTTTCTCTAGTAGGATTCTTGTTTCGAAAGATTTTGGTTATTATCAAAGATTTTATCTGTGATGTGATAATTCACAGTCCCTTTACTAATCAAAATGTAACTGGCGTGCAGAGATTTTTGCCTCCTTATCATAACTAATAGTCTCACTGAGTTCTTGTTATTCCAGCCAAAAGTGAAGACCTGCGATGTCGTAGCTGGAGCAGTGTGACGAGTTAGGCTCTCTGAAGTACTGCTTAGGGTCCGGGACTTGCTGTGCCTCTTTGCCGGTTCTAGACTAGACCTTTCTCAATCTCAGCAATTAGCTTCCTAACAAAAAATTAACATTAAACTGGGGTTCCGCTGGAGTCTCTTGAGACCTTGAGTGGTGCATGACTTAAGTTGTTTTGGAGATTCCAATCCATTGACTTGTATTGTCCTGTTTCGGGCTTTAGTGCCAAAGAGTTAAAACTAATGGCAAAAAAATCCCAAAAAACAAAACAAAAAAACTTCTCATTTTGCTACTCACCCTGTCTGAAATTTCACAGCCTTCCATCCACATTCCTCACATTCCTCACATTCCCTGCTTTACTTCTTAAGACTCTTAGCGCTTTTCAGCATACTATATATTTTACTTAATTTATCTGGTTTTCTGTTGTCTTATTCCCTTCCTATAAAGTACACTTGACCCAGGCAGGGATATTGGATAGTTTGGCCCCAGTGCATGATACAGAAAGTATTTGGTGAATGAATGTGTGAATATAGCCTTAAAGTTCTCTTGGAGCCAGTGTTTCACTATTTAGTATAACAAGAATATTTATACCTGAAAATGTGCTTTATCTCTGATTATTTCCTATAAATATATTCCCAAAAGTTTTTCTTAACTAGTGGGTTAAAGTTTACCAAACCTACATGAAATCAAAACACGTTAAAAATTATGTGTGGGTGGGGAGGGGATAGCGCAAGTGGTAGAGCACATGCTCAGCATGTACGAGGCCTTGGGTTCAATCCCCAGTACCTCCTCTAAAAACAAATAAACCTAATTACCTCCCTACCTCGCCAAAATAAAAAAATAATTAAACAATATAATATTTTTTTTAATTTAAGAAATAAACTAATGGAAAAATTGTGTGTGGATGGAACAGCAATAAGGGCCGCAAAAGCTAGCATTCATCCTTTTAAAAAAAGTAAACGTCAGTAAAAATACTTATTACAAATTTTTCATTTGTGTACTTTAAAAATTAATTGAATTGAGGTCGCTCTCTTGCCTTCCAAGACGGCCTGCACTCCGTCCATGGACTATGTATCTATCTTTACTTTCACCTTAACTGTAAGCATCCCTACCCGCTCCATACATCTTTCTAAATAAATCCACTTTTATTAAAAAAAAAAAAAACCAAAAATCTCTTTAATGCATTTAGTTCCTGTAAAGTAATTTTTATTCATTGTTTTCCTGTAAAATAGTAACACAAAATAATTTTTGTAGGGATAAGGGTGCTGTTTGGTTTTCGTTTATTTTTAAAGTCTCTATCTCCTCGTTATTACAATTGAGACTTAAAGCCCCTTACATCGGGTGCATATTCTGTCCCCTGGGTTTTCTCTGGAGTGTTGTGTGACACTGTGAAACCTGTTTGAAAATCTACACATTTACCTGACGGCAGCAGGAAATGAGAACAGAACCTGTACCTTTGAGAGTGTTTTGTGCCCTCATGAATGAAGCAGGTTAATCCAGACATCAGTTGGAGACACTTTGTTTTATCTGAAAGCCCTGTTGTCCGGTTTGGTTCACTGTCAGGGTGGAACCTTCCAGTGGGGGAGGGCAGTGGAATGGTCATAAGCGTGGACCTTGCAGGCAGACCACTGGGCTTTAGAAGCTGGTTCTGGCCTTTCGTTGATGTGTAACCTCAAGATGGCTTCGATGAGCATGCTTCCTTCGTCTGTAAAAATGGACATGATAACTACCTAAAGCTTCTTAAAAGGATTCGTTAAACTAATACATGTAAAGTGCCTCCGACAAAGTGAAGCGCCTGGCACATGGTAAGAATTTAGCAAGCGTTCGCTCTCAGCACCTTCATGTTGTCGTGATCGCTTTAGAAATCCACGCGCGAGCCCCGCGGGTGATGCACGTTCACAAACAGTGCGTGTTGTGGACCAGAGTTGGCAAACTGAATGGTGGGCCAAATGCGGCCCACCATGCCTTGTTGGAGAGCTCTCAAGCTACAGCAGTTTTTATTTTTCAGCAGCTGGGGGAAAAAATAATATGAAAGTTATTTTATGACACGTGAAAGTTACCTGAAATTCACATAAATGAAGTGTCCTCGGAGCACAGCACGCTCGGTCATTTCTGTCGTCTGTGGCGGTGTTCACGCTACAAGGGCAGAGCTGAGTAGTGGTGACAGACACTGTGTGGCCCGCAGAGCCTGGACCGTTCACTCGCTGGCCCTTCACGGGAGCCTTTGTGAGAGCGCGGACTGTGGAGCCAGGCTGCCGTGCCCACGGTCACGGCTCTGCAGTGGCTGTGTGCTCTCAGGCGGGGTCTTCTGTTTGCTCGTCTGTTAAGTGAGTGCCGGTGCTGACTGTCAGCGTTGCTGTGGGGATTAAAGACGCTTAGATGTTACCTGCTGACCCACGAACAGCAGAGGCTTGCACTGCGTGGCCCACTTACGTGCGGGTCCCTTTCCGGTGGTGAATACCACAGTCCTGCGGGTCAGAGCTGGCTGGACCCGTGGGTGTGGGACTGCAGGCGCAGAGGCTGACTATAGGTGGCTCGTGGATTTTCAGCCCCGAGGAGGGTTGGAGCCCCTGACTCGCGTTGCTCAGGGGTCAGCTGTTCGTGGAATTGTGTCTGGAGTGCCGTCAGTGCTGTGAACTCTGTTACTGTTTACAGCAAAACGTATTTACTAACTCTCTTCCTCCCTTGGGCTGCTGTCCCAGAACACTGCAGATAGAGTGGCTTATAAACGACAGAAATTCATTTCGCACAATCCAGGAGGCTGGGACGTCCAAGATCAGGGTGCTGGCCGATCCTGCGTAGAGGCTGGTGAGGACTCGTCCTGGTTCACACGTGGTGCCTGCTCGATGTGTCCTCAGTTGGTGGGAGGGGCGAGGAGCTCTCTGGGGCCCTTCTGTAAGCACACTAGTCCCATCCATGAGGGTGGCCCTCCCAAAGGCTCCACCTCCGAGTAACGTCACACTGGGTATCAGGACTTCAACATAGGAATTCTGAGGGGACACAAACATTCCAATAGAGCGCCAGCAGGAGTCAGCAATTCGGTACATGCGGGGCAGTCTGTGTAAACTAGGAAGATGTCTTGAAGGGATATGCACATACTGTTACCTTGGGGTCCCTCTGGAACGTGGGATTAGAGAGGTGGAGAGGGGGACGTTCAGTGCCTCGGCCTCACGGCCAGGTGCGCCAGCTCGCAGAGTCACTGCTGCCGAGGGGCGTTGTGACAGCTCGCTCAGCGAGAGCCGTGAGCACGTCTTTGCTCGAGGCTGACTAAGCAGTTCTTGGCTGTTTCCTGCAAGAACGACCAGGCCTTGTCCACGGTCCACGGGTCCTTTCCGTTTCTCCATCAGGAGAGCCATGCATCGGGCCATCTTCCCGCAAAGCAAGATGTCACTTACAGAAGCCTCTTGACTTGTCTTTACAGGGTGTGGTTTAAAGTGTCTTCAGAGTTGGTGCGGGTTAAATTGTGATAATGTGTTATTCGACAGACACCAGACCTCCAGGGGACTTTTGTTTCCCGTAGCGTGACGTCAGCCTTTAAACAGAAAAACTGGGCTGTTGGTCAGCTCGCCGCAGCTAACATTCATATAGTGCTCACATGGCGCCTCACACGTCCTGAGTGCTGTGCGCGTGCCCTCGTTTAACCCATGTAGCCGTCTGTGAGATTGGCTTTGTTGTTTTTTTTTTCTTTTTCTTTTGGTGTGGGGAGGTAATTAGGTTTATTTCTTTGTTTTAATGGAGGTGCTGGGGATGGAACCCAGGACCTTCTGCATGCTCGGCACGCACTCTTCCACTGAGCTACATCCCCTCCCACCCCTGGTTTTGCTGATTTTTCCATTTTAAAGTGGAGAACTGAGACCCAGTGGGGTTAAATAACTAGCTGGGATTTCAGAGCTGGTGAGTGGCCAGAACCCTGAATTCAGCCTTTGTGGGGGTCGGACTTTTTTGCCTGTTGACTTGAGTTTGTGCTTTAACGCTCCCAAGGTTGCGTGTAAGTCCTTTAAATCTGCCTTCTGTCAGCCACAGATTGCAGAGGTCAGCATTCGAATTGAGTAAATGTTTAAAATACATTGGAATGTATCAGAATTGTAGGCGGAAATCACAAAAATATGCTACATAAAATTTCGCCAGCAGGAGATGCGCCACAGACCCAGCCGTAAAAGGGCTCGTGTGTCTCCTTGATTGGCCCCGCGTCTGAGATGGCACTTTGATTCTTCTTTTTTAATTGAGGTGTAGTTGGTGTACAATATTACGTAAGTTTCAAGTGTATGACATACTGATTCACGATTTCTAAAGCATATACTCCATTTATAACTATTAAAAAATACTGGCTGTTTCCCTCTGTTGTGTAATACGTCTCGATTCTCAAAGGCATTGTATTAATTAAAAGCTTTATGGTATTTTTCATTCTTATTAGACGCTCATCTTTATTTCAGAAAAGAAGAGTTTTGTTAGTTTGTGTGTTTAAGTGAACACGCACTGGGTCCTGAGCACTAAACGTAAACAAAAAGCCTTCGTGCTTAGCTTGGGGTCTAGTTGTGCTTGTCTTTTGAGGTTCACCTCAGGTTTACTTCCTCATTCCTGTGTCGCTCAGCCACTCCCGTGTCCTCGTGGTGGAAAATGCTCTGGTACCTACTGTGCGTAGAACAGTTTGGCCTCCATTTTTATTGTGGTTTTTTATTTAAAAATTTTTTATTTTTAAGTTAAAAAATCTTTTTATTGAAGTATAGTCAGTTTACAATTTTGTGTCAGTTTTTGGTGTGCAGCACAT